ACAGTTTATTGGGACACCTTTGGGACTGGGCAGAAAATCTCCCACTCCTCATACCCTGCTTGGGAGCTACTGGAATGTAGCTCTGAAAAAAAAAAACAAAAAAAACAACCCACCAGGACTCACCTAAGAGGGTGGCTTTTTTTTTTTTTCTTTTTTCCCTGAGGTGTGAGATCTTTTTTATATTGGGCCACCTCCTATCTGGCTCTGAAATCTGGCTCTGGCACTTCCTAGGAGTGTTTCAGACCTCAGCTGCTGATGGACACCTCAGCTTTGCTTGGCAGCCAGTGTGATTTGCTGTGAGTGGGCAAGAGTGAGCTCAGGGAGTGAAATCTCTGAGTCGAATTGGAACTGCAAGAACTGAGTCACACACAAGTTTGCCGTCTCATACCCAGAAACCCCATACTCCTCCAGCCCTTCTCACCAAAGCCACTTCCCTCCCTGCTGGTGCTCTCAGGGTCTCACAGTGAGTGGGAGTCACAGGGATGAGGAGACCRAAAGCAGCCACAGCATCAGATGAGCCCAGGTGAGGTGACAAGAAGTGTGAGCTCTGCCTCACCACCAGCTTTTGGGGGAGCTGCTCAGAGCAAGAGAAATGAGGCTTTCTGTTACCTCTACCTTTTGCCCAGCCTGCTGACTTTTTGTGTACTTTTCCCTCCCARTCGGACTTGCTTCCACTAAAGAATGGAGAAATACCCAGAAATTCAGCAGAAGGGAGGGGGGAGGTAGGAACACAAGGAAAGCCACTTTATTCCAGCTGCCAGCATTTCCCAATTAATTTCCAGCACAATCAGCACTAAGGCAGCAATTCYTGTGCAGGTATTCATCCCCTTCCAAAGCACTTCAAAGGAAACTGACAGCCASAGTTTAGCAATGTATGAATTCCTGCTCATAATTACACGTGGTATTATGTAAAAAATAAACACCAACTCTCACATATGGGACTGGGAGAGTCATACAGCACTGACTTTAGCTAAAGTCCAAACCAGCTGCCTGCATCCCCTCTCACATCAACAGAGGTGGGCAGCTCTCTTGAGCAACAGCTGTAGTTGGCAGGTAATAATGGTCGGAAGGACATTTGCCTGGAAGGAATGGGATTTGTATTTACCTCAAGGAAATTCCTCAGCAGTGAATGGCTGTGGAGGATCAGCAAGATTTGCCCATTATTATCAGCAGCTACAACATCTGGAAAGCATCTCCAAGCCCAAGTACATTGCATCCCACASAGTGCACCTGAGCCCAACACATGCTCCACTCCTAGATTTTTCTTTTCTTTCATTATTATTTCTCAGAATTCTGCATGTGGACAGTTATATCACTTCACCTCCACCATTGCATCATACCCTTAGTGGCACTTTCRTAAGGAAAAGGAACAACTCATTTCTCTTTACTGGTCATCAAAGTCAACACAGCCAACTGAATGCCCAACATTGTCAAGGAAGAAAAACTACTGAAAACAAAGAATTCCTGGTAAGGTTTTAATTTCTAAATAGATCACCCCACATGTCTCAGCTTTCACACCAACATGCCGGGTTTAATGATATCCACTTCTCCCCCAGTGAGGGCTTGCAAGATTTATCTTGTTAACTTGAACACCAGTCTGAAGATGGGAAGATTAATATGCAATAGTATATTTGTATAGGTGTAATAAGCCATAATTTGTGGTTAGAAAACCCTTTCCGGTCCAAGAAAAGAGAACTGCATACCTTGGGTTGATGATGGAAACTTCTGCAGGGTAAAAGCTAACAGTGTACCTAAAAGGGTCTGGTACAGGGCCCCAAAGAAAAGGAAAAATCAACAGTCCCCACTAAGAATCAAAGCAAAGCAGATTTTGTTAGATGGCTGCTGGTGAAGCTACTGATGAAGTGATGGAAAATGTGCCACTTTTCTTTCAAGGCTGCAAGAGCCTTAAAATTTCCCCTCCCAACCCTAGTTAATGCAAAAAATACAAAGGGCTGTGAGGCTCCTGCTTCCCAAGGGTTATCTCCTCCCAGCTGAYGGACCTGCAGCTCAAGAAAACACATCCCCAGTGAATAATGACTTGCCTCTTATGTGAGAGGAATGGAGTCATAACTCAGAGCTGACCATGGTGTGTTTATGCAGAGCCATGCTGAGGTCAGGATTTATTTCAGATCATGGCAGAAGCAGTCTATCAGTCACCAGCACTTCATTCTTCAATAGCACAAAGTGATAATTCCCATAGCTTACCAGCTTTGTTTTTCAGTATCATTAATTAAACCCTGAAATCCCCCAGGATAAATGACAGCAAAGATTCCTGAATGAACATGGAAGAAGACAAACTGACTTTGCCTGCTCTTTATGACKGAGATAACTCCACAATTTGTTGCAATATCCCATACCTGGGTCTACGTTGAATCTCTCCAGGAGCCTGAAGACAAGTTTGCTGAGCACTCTGCGGTTAAATTTTTCTGGTTGGTACCTGGACATGCCTTGATATGGTCTGTAACAACATCAGAAAGACAAATCTGTGGCATCACCTGAAAGCTGTTTCCTCAACAGCAGATATTTAACAGCAGACTGAGCTTTGCTGGGTGCTGGCACATACAGGCCCCTGCCTGTCCCAAGGTACAGTGAAAACCCAACAGCACAACCCCACAAATTTCAGTCAACGACTGAAGGAAGTCCAGAGGCTCATTTCTTAAAAAGAGAAAGTGAGCAATTCCTTTTCATCCGTGTTTCAGAGCTGACAGCAACTACTGCAGCTACACCGTAACTGTGACTGGGCTGCTGGCTCTTAGTGACAGGAGTTATTCAAGTGAGAGGCAATTCAGAAATGAAAACACACACCATGACTTGATGAGCACARGAAGGCTAACCACTTGCATCTCTTGTTTTTCTGACACTTCATCACAGTGTTATCTTCCTGCCAAACCTGTACAACCGATACTGAAAGTCACCCTTGTCTGCAGCAAAGCACGAGAGGCCGATTGCTCCAGCCTCGGCGGGAAGCTTTGATACTGTYCTGCTGCTGGGGTGTCCTGTACAGGTTTCATTTGCACTCCTGGCAGGAATGAAGCATCTGTCAATAGCAATGATTCCTCTGTCCTAGAGGCTGGGGAGGTGGAGAAGCCTCTGTCATAGCCACCAGAATTTTCCCTTTTTCAGCTGGAAAGTCAATATATTGCACCC